CTGGTCAGGAGAAATGGGTGAGAGATATGAAGATATTTCTCAGGTAAAAAAGGAAGAGATTTTTTAAAAACCTATAATGTTACCGTGACTCTAACAACTTATCCTTTAACCAAGCGAAATCCAGGAATTCAATAGAATAATGTATGGAAAACAGCAGAAAGCAACTAGATGGAAGGACTGTACCAGTCAGACTATGCACCGATTGCAGTACGCCACTGGCGCTATATACGTGAAAAAGGCCTTTGACCAGGTAAGACGGAATTGTACGATTTCCACAGAACTCTTAGTTGAGGTTTCAGGCGTCTAAAAATGTTATCTTGGAAATGATCGACGATCTACAAGAAGCATTCCGCGAGATTCTTCTCACCAACGACTGGATGGATGAGCGAACTAGAAGCGTAAGCTAATGGAAAAAAACGAAAATACCCTTTTTTTAATGACATGCATATCAATGAATGCAGCAGCTAATATCAAATTTGTCTTTATTGCAAAACGTTTGTCTTTGAGGTGGAAAATTTTTTCTGTTATAAACAGGATGCAGTCAAATTGCGTTGTTGCATAGCTTTGGTCTAACAGTGGGAGAACTTTTTGTTTGCAGAATCGGCTCAGCACAAGCAGATAGCCCTTATTAAGCTGCACTAGTTCGAAGCTGAAATTTGAGAGAATTTTGTAGAGCAACCAGCTTTCGCAAAAAAAGCCCATTCATTGATATACATCTCAGTAAAGAGGTGGCTTGACTAACATATTCCTTTGTCAAAAGGAAATGAATGAGGACAACTAGCATGATTGTTCCAGACGGCTTTGGACAAAGCGAACCAGATGTTGCGTCAGATTGCCTACCCGGATTTCATCTTGAATGATGAGAAACTAGATGAACATTACGACGGAGTACGTGCATGTTCTCTACCAATTCTGAAGTAGGCCTTATCACCACTTCCAGCTTGATGTACGCGAGTCTGACACCTACAGCGAAATGCTGGAGAAAGTCGCACGATGGGGCATCGAGTATTCTTTTAAGAGGCTAATTAGACCGGTAGATCGCTCCGAGTTCAACTTCAATTCAGCTGTAATAAACGCATACTATTCTTACACCTCCAATTCTATTAGTGAGCTTAGAAAATTTGAATAAAGGGAATCAATTGATTACTTTTATTTCCAGAGTTCCCAGCGGCCATTCTTCAGGCTCCATTCTTCCACCATACGTTCCCAAGGTTGGTTTAATAAGATTACAATTCAAGGTAAGGATCATTTCGCTATCTTTTCCCCTATTATTTAGCAAAACACGTGCAGATTTGAAGCACAATTGAAATCATCCGACGTAAGCAAAACGGTCAT